GTGTAACAAAATGACATCGTCTGGTTATGCAAACGAAAACAACACTTTTACGTTTTCGGTATCCAGCAAAGGGACAGCATGTTTTGCTATTAACTGTAAAAAATATCAAAACCCCACATCAAAATTAAATGGAATGGCCTTCCACAGGTACGAAATTCAATAGTGATTATATTTATGAACCCGGAATGTTCAAGCGACCAGCGTCCTGAGTTTTCGTACTAGGCCCACTAATGCATGTTGACCTAGCCTACGGCTTACTAAACATATCCTCGCCTTAGAGATTTGCCCATGGAAGTTGTACTTACTTATTTTTGTACCAGAATAACTTTTAATTGTACAAAAAAAAGCTTCTTTGCCGAACTGCAGGAGGAATGTTAGCTTGTTACTGAATGATGGCTTTTGTCCATTTAGTCTTTGTATATTTAACCTATCATTAGTATTAGACTGCTATCTTATAAGTTATAGATGGAGGCCAGCTTATTGGATGTTAATGGCGTATTATGGTACCAGAATGAACTTTTTATTATCCAACCAAATGGGGCATATTATAGCAATTTGAATTAAACTAAATGAAATGAAGTGAAAGAGTTTGGCGTAATTCAAATTAACAATATAGACAATAGGCTGTAAAAATATGACCAATTTTGTTTCGCTCTATTAGATTTCCCAGTAAACTTAAGGAGATGAATAGATTTTTTAATGTGGGAGGGAAACTAAAGAAGACGAGACGAAAAAAAACCCAACAATTCGATCTCTACTATGCAGTATTCATTTTAACAATGACTATATGGATAGAATTGGGCAATGAGAGAGAGATAGAGAGAGAGAGATAGAGAGAGAAAAAGAAATGGAGTTTAACGTCCACTCGACACAAGCTAGGTCATTTCGGGATTAACATAATATGATTTATATTTTATTTCAATAATTCGCTTGCACGTAGTGTTTTTTAGCAGTTGGAGGAACCGCAGGACCGGGATAAAACCCACGACGTTGCACAGGCGACCCTACACCTTGTTACGTATAACAACCGGGGAATCGAAACCACGCCAGTTGACTCAATAACAAACCTCATGATACAGCGCGCACTTGCTAACCATTCGGCCGTTCAGACTAAAACTAAAGAGTGATGCAGTACCGACAAATTTTGATTTGCCAGGACACTTACAGGTAAACAATATGCATATTGTAAACTTTTGTTAACTCATAATATAGTAGATAACAGTTAGCAAACAAAAAATTGCTAAACTGTTTGTTTCCATTGCACAAAAACAGTAATATTACCATATATGAGTAGGCGTATACATTTCTTAGTGTGTATCAATCTTCCACACTGATCCGCAGTGAATATTCGCTAGGCCGCTACAATCACTGATAAGGATGACATCAATGCGACTTAATGAGTCACAAATATTAACTTTTTTCCACAGACAAATTCAATTCTAAAACATTTTTTTTTGGATGTATTAGAAAAATAAATAAAGACGTTCGGCGTATTTGTAGGTAAAAATTATTTCCTATTTAGTGTAAAATGAGTATTAAAATGACTAAAAGGCAGCATTCTGCCCGAAGCAGTAACGTCTTATGTAAACAATGCACGCGCCATTCAGCCAATGCTTGACGCCGCGTGCTGTGACGGCACGTGTTAAAGGCAGTCATCTTTTACAGAGATATTAGAGAAGACTCGTAATACTCTGTGAAACAGATTGTCAATCTTCATGTCAAACAATTTCATATAATTATTATAGCTTTAAAATTGTATCATAAACCATTAATGACTTCTCACGTAAGCTTACATTTATCATTCATTAGAATTGTTGCATGTCTCAGTGGCAAGTATATCTCATACATACTTCATTCTTATCAAAACATCAGTCATATTAACAAAGCTGGTTTTAAGATGGCATACATAGGGTAAGACCTACAAAGAGCTGGGATTATAAGTCATGTGGTTTTTACCGCGAGCACTTCGCTTTTCCATATAAAATAAGCGGATTTTTTTCTATCCGCACTGATGACGCCAAAAATCAGTGAGCTGGACCTCCTGTTTTATTATGACAAAGGGAGAAGATGACCCACCCTGTGTTTTAAGGTAACCTTTTTATATATACAAGGACTATTTTCCATTTTGTGTTTTTACCAGTTTTAAACCTTTTAAGTATAAATAATTTAATTAAATCAACCTGTCCATAATATCATATTTATTGTATTGGACGTTAAATCTGTAATAAACAACAACAACAGTCATTTGCAACAATTATTTAATGAAGGTTTTGCATGTAACCTGGTGGCTACAGGGATGAAATGTCAATTCGAAGGGATGATTTTGATTGTTATTTGCAAAGTCTGTAGTATAATAGCAGTACATCCTTAAACACTGTTATAGGAAGATGCAGGTTCTAAACCAGCCAGGGACCAATTTTCATCATAATCAACCATTTATCTTTTATTTCATATTCAGCCATAAGTGTTAAATTCGTCAAGATTTTAACGGATAATTTTACTTTTATGTGTGTGTTTTGGATGTCCACTTTTTAGATTAAAAGTTTAATTCCATGTACTTTTACTTTAAAGTAGCTAAGTCTCTAAATCAATATCATCCGAAATCTTCGACATTGAAAACACGAATTATTTGTCAATTTAAATCAACATTGATGTTGTGATCTTACCTGGAAAATATGGCCGTCTAATATCAAATATTTAAGACAAAATAAACATTTTACCATTGGTACACGAATCGTGTACCATAATGCGTTTCAACGCCATTTGTAACAAGGGACTCGAAGAACATGGCTAGACATATTCCACAAGTTATATTCTTATCTAGAGAGCATGCGCAATAAGTACTATCAGTATAGACTGGAATAATCTGACGCTAGAGATTGCCATGCGATTGAGACTTCTGGCGTGTTTCGTCGAACATAACTTAATAGAAATTATAGTAAAAACATAAACGTTTATACATTTATAAACATTCATATTACATTATTACATGCGTTGCGACCCATTTGTGTCAATTTCCAGGTCCAAAATATTAGCGATTTAGCTCCTTTAACATAATAGGTTAACTAATTCAAAGTACTTATACTTTATTTCAGTTGCAGCTTAATGCTAGATGCAATGGCTATTCGGAAACAGGTCACCTATAAGAACCACTCTGGTAAGCTAGTAGGGTTTGTTGACTTGGGGACTGAGATCAAGGAAACAGATGAAGCCAAAGAGGCTCTAGTTTTTATGTTAGTTGGAATCAAATCCAAATGGAAAGCTCCTGTAGCCTATTATTTAAGTAAAGGCTTACAGGCAGAAGTCCAAGCTGGGCTTCTTGTGGGCTGTATCGAGAAGCTGTCTTAGTGTGGTTTTGTCATGCACCCAGTCACTATGGATGTTCATGCACCCAACATCAGCATCTGTCATTTGTTGGGCTGTGATTTCGAATATCATCAGCAAGATCCCAAACCATTCTTTTTTTTTAATTGTCGGGAATTACAAACAGAATTTCTTGAAACAATTATAACAGGTACTGTACTTTGATTTGAAAAATATTTTTGATCACCCAGGATAAATAAAATAGAATTTAATGGAGGATTTACACTGAAAGTAAGACACTAACACATTTAGTAGTTAGAATAAGCACAATCTGATAAAAACACTATTTCGTTTCATTTTTTGTAGTTCAAAATTTCGTTTTACTTGTCATTACTACACTAGGATCTGGGAGAACTGTTATATAACCCGCGTTCTGGATGATGTCAGGGATTAGCCAATGAAACGGTCTGTTACAGCGTGTTTTTGGCGTGAGGTGTACGGAACTGTAGGTAATCCTCTAGAAAAATCAACGTTGATTGGTTAATTAAATGTCTGACGTCATAGGCCAAAAGCCGCTCGTATGACCTCTGACGCGAACTTCCACTACAACCGGTCAGACCGCCATGTAGTAGACCTGTCTATTGAATATAATACATAGACTATAGAGACAACAGACATTCAACATAGATCCCGAAAACGGTTAGAAGTGGTTATTATAGTCAGCCAACCCATGCATTTGGGATTGCAAGGAGTACTTGTCATTTATGTACCCATGAAATTCCTGATTTCTTGTTTGATATTCCGGACATATTCATAAAATTACTCAACAAATTGAATTTGCCGACCTTAGAGATCCATTCCATTTGGCAGAGGGCAGAAATATGTTTTCAGTGTTGTATACATTGATAGTATAATTGTTAAAATGAAACAACCATCTTATGCTGGAGATACTCTCTTTTTTTGGTAAATCGTGTAATGCCCTGAATGTTCAAGATGTTGTGGGCAGGGGAGTGTTGAGACATCTCAAGTGGTAGCCTCGGTACTGCACATGACAAAACTGCAGCAGAGTGGTCAACTCAGTTCTTAAAGTATATAAACATGACTTTATGGCAAATTTATATGCATCAACCTTGATGGTTAAAGTCTGTATGCAAATAATAATCTTGTAAAGCTTCCATTGTCCGCATCTGCAACATGATATAGTGATCAGAAAAGAATAGAATGCGTTAGGACAGGAGACAAAAGGTGGAATATTTAAAACTGACACTAGTGTTATAGTATTTTTTCTTTTATTTAACTAGTGTTAAATTTAAAGCCCAGATTAAGGCATGAAAAAGAACACCAGTTATACACCACTACAACACAACCTTAACCGTGGACTTGAATTGACCCATTTATGTTAACAACACTTTCTGATCACAAAATCGGTTGTATCTTAATATGAACTTAACATATGAAGCATAATGTAACAGCAATTAGATACAATTTCGTTTTGTTTATAATTTTCTGAATTTTACATGGTAATCTAATCGAGACTTTATAACATCGTGTACTACCAGTCAGAGTTCTATTTTTTAAATTACAAGCCAATAGTATATTCGCTGAACCAATCAGAATCACTCCATACAATTGGACTTTAAAATCCCCATAATGCACCACAAAATAAAATGAAGCCCCGCAAACAAATAAGGGCAATTGGATAGGTCAATAGTATATTCGCTGAACCAATCAGAATCACTCCATACAATTGGACTTTAAAATCCCCATAATGCACCACAAAATAAAATAAAGCCCCGCAAAAAAATAAGGCCAATTGGATAGTTCAATAAGTTCACGTATTTGTATACGCGCTATAATAATAATTTTAATTGCATACACCACTAACTTTGGTCAATTACAATGGAACTTCTTTTGCATTTTTCGGTGAAAATAAAAGTGCCCTTTGCCTTTTATCGCACATTCTTCATCTCTGATAGACATCTAGGCGATACAGTTGACTACCGTGGCAGAACTCATGGGAGGTGCTGAAAAAATAATAACAGTGCAATACATAGTGGGTCGACTAACCTAATTTAATTTTAATTGAAATTCATGATAGGAATATCGATAAATTCTTTCCCCTTCGTTCTATCCATTTTCTATTCCCATTTAGACTTTAGGTTGTTTTTTTTTTAAAAAAATGAACAGGAGTTTGTACTTTGTTTTTCTGTCAGATTTTGTATCAGAAAATCAACAAACGTCCATTTGGAGAATACCCTATAAAACATTTCCATCACATGACGCCAGACATGTGACAATAAAAGGTCGAAGTGTCCGCGTGGGGTGTTTGTGTGTTTTCAACTAGCATAAACTGTGGCATATATTTAGATATTGGCATGCTGATCATTTTAAGTGTTTTGCCATCATGACAAATGTCGACGAGGCAGCATTATGGCATTGACATTAGTACTAGCTTTAATAGACCTAGTAGTAGCTGGTGGGTTAACCTCTGCTTCCACACTAGTTACTAGACAATATTTGCATTTTTGTATCATCGATATGGCCACCTTCATAAATGTGCCACGGGGAGTGTCACAAGTCACACTGGATTGATTACCAATACAAATTCACCAACATTGCAACAGATCAGGCGATACAAAGGCTTACAAACAATGCCAATTCTACATATAAATTCAATCTTCATTTCTTGACATGCAGGGGTGGATCCAGGATTTTCAGAAAGGGGTGGGGGCGTGTTGCCCCCGGCTCGTTTTGGAGTTAATTACGACGGGGATCACTACCATTTTAAAGTGTTTCTGTTCTCCTTTCCCGCGAGAATATATGGGGCGCCCCCGCCCCCTGGGTCCGCGCCTGACATGGGCTCTTAATGAAAACACGTTAATAACCGAAGCCGCAAGCCATAATCACCATGTAAGTAGTTTGTTTTCATGTAATTTGTAAACCCGGTGGCCGGTGGCCGACTTGACAAGACCTTTTAAATTCAAACTCAAGCGAGGTCGTCTGCTTGAGCCTCGACAAAATATCGGGAAAACTACGTCATACTTTGAATAAGCGTCCAAACCAAAGATATGGAGCAAACTGTCTAAAATACGGTCATGGACCTAAATAAATTATCTAGTTAAAAAGTAGCTACACTCATTGTCATCTCATTTGCATAGAAACGCGACCGGGTAGTTTTATGTAAGCAGTGGTTGTTAGAGGGGTGAATACTAAAGTATCTTTATTCTATAATTGTATACTAGCTATTGTATTGCATTTATATAAATATATTAAAGATACATCCCCACGAAAGTATTATATGGTAGTTATATGTATATATAGTTGGTATATATGTAAAGCACAGACTATCGAAAGATACTGGATTCCCTGAAAAACGCTCTTGGACAACAATATAAGGGTGTCTAACTATGGCGGTATATCAGATTTAAAATTCTATCGTGTTATGGTCTAACCACAGGCGCCTGTAACATTAGGCCTTAGCTATACGAATACGTGTAATGAATGAAGTCTGTTTCGACCACGTGGTGTGAATACGATTTCTAATTCAAGGGCAAATAACTCGTCTGAATCCGATTCTCTTTCAGTCTATATAATAATACTAAGGTGAGAAACGGTTGGAATTAAATAATTGGGGTCAAAGTTCACTAATCTAGGTTAGCTAATCTCACCTGAAGCCGCTTCAAATTACATTTTAAAATTTTATATGGTCTATTGTCTAACAGTTTTGCTTTAAATTCCAAAGTGAAAGGGCCCAGTGGGGTGTATATACATTAGTTCACTAATTAATATGTCTTTTATCTAAACAGTTCCAATTCACCAGGTTCTGTTCCTTTCTAGATCATTAAGTTAACCAAGAACACCGATAAGATTTTTTCTTTGTTACTCTAAACATGATGCTAATGATTCTCTGTGATCCGAAAATATTGTCCTGAATTAAACCTGTTCAATGAACAGAAAAAGTCTAAATAAAACCCAGCCGCCTCTTTGTTCCACATTATAAATAATCAATTATCATAACATAATCATGTAATATGTTAAAAAGAAATCGAGACTTCACCAAATAAAAAGAAGTCACTCTTTGTACGATTATATTTGCATTTGGACAGAACGTCAAGATACTGTAATTTAATTTTAGCGTATTTTATTTAGAAAAACACAAACTTTTGATTTACATACTATAGTTTTATAGCACCTACTCGGCCTTTCAATTTGTACATAAACCGTTGACTTTTGAAAACAAAATCGATTACAACTTTAAAATTTTCTGAACGGCTACATGGAGCTACATCGAAGAGAGAATTTGTGCTTGTGTCAAAAGAAACGTTAAACAGCGATAGACCATTACGTAGACGTGGAGTAAGAATAAATAAAAACAGTTGTGAATCATCCAATTCTTGGGGCTTCACCTTGTTTAAATACCGGTGCATGTTCGTTTCGTGTAACTATAGATGACACTTTACGTATATGGCGGGGTATCAGGTTCAAAATGCGATCTGCAGAAGAAAGTAGAAAATAAAAAGCAAAAGAGAAAATTCTTATCCAAAATGGACATTTTCGTGTGGGAAACATATAGGCCTACCGCTCGTGCTTTTCAGCCTAATACGTCCACCTTTTCAACTTTAAATCGTAAATATTCTACTTTCAACAACAGAATTTCTACTTTCAATAATCAACTTTTGACATTCGACTTTCAACTTCAGATTTTCTACTCGAGATTTTCTGCTCGAGATTTTCTCCATGCATATTACGGAACTAAATTTGATCACGTGACTATTTCTATATATCATTAAAATATGGTATTTAAAAATAAACGATCCCAGGGAAAGATAACTCTAGTTGTAAGACTAAGATAAGATGGTCTCAGACTAGCAATTATTTGCCCATTGACTTCAATGTTAAATGGCTGTAACATCACAGGCTGTAGCTGTTTGCTCAACATTCGGTTGGCTCCAATCTTTATAGGCACAATGGGAACCACATTTGGCAATATTCTCATCATAAATTTGTAGGGGGTTGACCGTTTAGATTTTTTGCTACGAGGATTTGAAGTTGACTGCGTTGAAAATCTCACTTCCGACACAATGATTGCTCTGCAGAAAGACACTTTACATCCCCTATCCCTCCGCTGTGATATCGTCAGTATTACCCAAAACTGTTATGAAATTGCAAATTTGATCCCTTTTCTCCAATTCTAGACCAAAAAGTCAACCCAAAAATGCAGGAAGAGAGGAGAAAAAAATTAAGGGAAAAATTGTCTATTTATAACTAGCAGTTTAAACAAATCTGTTGTTATCTAATAAACAAACATATATGCAATGCTCTGGCAATAGATTATGAAAATCTATGCATTTTCAGATGAGCTGTGCGGCATTCTGCAAAGACTATAATACATCAGAAAACTGCGGAATTTCAGACAGAAATTTAAAAGCACATGAATTTTGAATTAAACAGAACATTTTTATTTTTGAACATAAATGCATTCTTCAAAATGATGAGATGAATTCAATATAAATCAAACACGAAAATACTTTAAAACAATAATCATGATGCGATATTAGACTTTTTAACACTTTCATTGAAAACCACACAGTTTTTCTCTGTTAACGTAGTTTCAAGTGCCAAATTGTGGTCAAATCTAAGATGTTGAAACATGCAGTGCCTATCAATTTTAAAATATCTCCTATATAGCTGTATTTCCATATGATAAGTATGTTGAAATAATCTGATTATGTAACACTACAACAGCTTTTTCCTCCCCACCCCCAAGTTTGGAATCTGATAATTTAAAAGCACACGAATTTTGAATTCCACATAACATTTTTATTTTTGAACATAAATGCATTCTTCAAAAAGATGAGATGAATTCATTATAAATCAAACACGAAAATACTTTAAAACAGTAATCATGATGCAATATTAGACTTTTAACACTTTCATCGAAAACCACACAGTTTTTCCCTTTTAACATAGATTCAAGTGCCAAATTGTGGCCAAATCTAAAATGTTGAAACATGCAGTGCCCATGAATTTCAGAATATCTCCTATATAGCTGTATTTCCACAGGATAAGTAAGTTGAAATAATCTGATTATGTAACACAAACTAGGTCATTTCGGAACTAACATATGGTTTAATTTTATTTCAATAATTCGCTTGCGCATAGGGGTCTTTAGCAGTGGGAGGAAACCGGAGGACCCGGAGAAAACCCACGAGGTTGGACAGGCGATCCTACTCCTTGTCACGTACAACCGAGGATTCGAAACCACGCCAGTCGACTCAATGACAGACTTTATGATACAGCGCGCGCTAACCATTCAGCCATCCAACCCCCCTCTTCAAATGTGAGAGTTTATGATAAACACAAGGGCGTCATTTTCAAGCTCGGAAATGAAGACATCGCCAAACAGCAAAGTTTACAGAGGTCCTCGGGGCTGGAACCCAAACTGATTACAAGGGGAAAATAATTGCTAGTCGGACTCCATCTTATCTTAGTCTTACAACTAGAGTTATCTTTCCCTGGGATCGTTTACTTTTCTGGAAAAATAACGTATTTTAATGACATGCAGAAATAGTCACGTGATCAAATTTATTTCCGTAATATGCATGGAGAAAATCTAGAGCAGAAAATCTCGAGTAGAAAATCTGAAGTTGAAAGTCGAATGTCAAAAGTTGATTATTAAAAGTAGAAATTCTGTTGTTGAAGGTAGAATATTTACGACTTAAAGTTGAAAAGGTGGACGTATATTAGGTTGAAAAGCACGGGTGGTATATGTTTCCCACACGATAATGTCCAATTTGGATAAGAATTTTCTCTTTTGCTTTATATTATCTACTTTCTACTGCAGATCGCATTTTGAACCTGATACCCCGCCATATACGTATTGTATATGAAGACACCATTTAAACATTGTTAGTTTTCAAAACAAAACCATACATGATGGTTATGGGTATCTTACTGTATTGCTTTGCTATCTGCAAGGTCACAGTCATCGTTTTGGTTCCGTCAGCGGGATTTTGACAAGGAACTTATTACTGGTAATGATTTAAATCCTGTTGACGACACGGAATGACATATTTTGAAATGTCATTCTGAAAGGTTCTTGTAATAACATTATAGTTATTCTATTAACTGCATCCTTAAGTGACGGGGCATGTTGTGCTACTATCAAGTTTACTGTACGTGTATAATTTGTTATGACTAGTGTCGGGGTTTGTTTATACCACTGTTATGACAGACTGTCTGCTTTTGAAACTGACTACCTTTAAACGGTGAACGGGGGCTATAGGTTGAAGCTATATTTATGGAAACCTCAAAGTAGCAAAGGTCCTACAACTATTTGTTTAAAAAGGAGAAAGAGTCTATCTTATCTGGGGCCAGTGTCTGATTCTTATAATCCCCAGGGCCGTTCCCGGGTTTAAACATATGTAGGTGTGAACATATGCTCAGATATCATTTATGATCCCGTAAGACAGGTGTGGGTTTTCGTGTATATATACCGTACTGTCACAGGGCCTCTTTTAATGAAGCTCAACTAGGTTACAATAGTTGATTCAGCCCCCCCCCCCCTCGCGAGAAACTTTTTAGAAACGGTCATAATTTGGTGCGTTTGGCACATATCTCAGAGGGGTTGACTGGACAAAACGTTTTCTGTTAAATTCTATTTCAATAATTCACTTGCGAGTTGGGGTCTTTAGCAGTGAGAGGAAATCGGAGGACCCCGAGAAGACCCATGAAGTTCGACAGGCGACCCTATTTTTCACGTACACCCGGGGAATCGAAACCACGCCAGTTGGCTCATTGACAGATCTGATGATACAACACACACGCGCTAACCATTCGCCCCCCCCCCCCCCCGAACTAACTACAAATGATCATCGACATAAAGATACATCCATACCGATTTTAAACACTACATATACGTAACCTAGTATGGCTAGTTGCTCATCTCTTGTTACAAAAACATCTTACTACGTGGGAGTATTGTTATTTTAGACAAAGATTGTATAATTCATTACTTACTATCAGACTGTCAATGGCAATGTGATTATGACACCTCAATATCAGTTAAGATCAATTGAATTGCTATAAGCCCAATGGGTCTACTTTATTACTTACTATAAGACTGGTCTATTTTGAAATTTAGAGGGGTGGTTGGTCTACATCCACCAGCGTACCCATCACACAGACCATCGATCAATGTGTTGCTTTCAAAAGTAACGTGACCAATTTTTCCCGCCCAGCCGTAAGCTTCCCACGTGGTCTACAATATAAAGAAAAGACACATGGCTCTATTCTTTAGAACCGTAAACTTGACGAAAATGTGCCTAAGTAATATGAATGATTTATATTCGTTTTTTAAACATTTGTTGTAATTTCTAATCAATTATGTTCGGTGTATTGAACGAGTCTTTTAGGCCTGCTTAGTTTTTGTTATTAGGGGAGCCACGGTGTCTAAGTGAGTAAGAAGCTGGCTGGCTAGCCTGGAGGTCGCGAGTTCGATCCCGATGTTGGCTGAGAAAGTTCATCGAGATTTTCCGGCGTAGCAGGACTTAGGGCCTGACAAGGACAGCTATCTAGTCGTTCGGCGGGCCGAAAAACCGAGATCCCGCGTACACATTGGCGTGCACTTAAAATATCCCTTGATAGTTGGAATTCGGTATTAGAGTAGGCCGTAGCGCCGCTGTCCGGGAAAAATTGCCCACATAGCACACTGTATGGCGTATGCCCGTCCTCATTAGCCCAGTTCGAGCAGAACAGTAGAACGTTAAACCCTATTTCATTCCATTTTCTCTTTATCATTTTTTGAGAATCAGTCATTGCTAATTACTTCTGGATTGTCTTGTAGGATATGTTTTTTTATGTTCATTACAAATGACGCCTGAATCCATAGAACCCTGTTCCTTCATTAGGATCCCGGATTTTCGCAGCAAGATAACAAGCATCTGTATCGATTGAAATGGACCAATATTGAATTCTAATTATTGTTTTTAATTTCAGGGCCCTGTTTCACGAAATTTTAACTAAAGATAAAATCTAAATTTTAGTAGATACTTAAATTTTGATTGGCTAAGCACTATTATCCAATCAAATTAATAAAACTTGGATTTTATCTTAGTTAAAATTTCGTGAAACAGGACCCAGATATTATGGAAAATACCAATTTAGAGGTTTAGTCCCTTTGAAATCCACCTTGCACAAATATGAAATTTCGGCACTACTACACGTTATATTTATATGTTTAATTCAATAGTATGCGCACATGGATTTTCAGAATGCGCACATATGGATTTTCAGAACATGTCCATATTTGAAGAATAGAGACCTCAGACCACTGTGCTCAATGGAATGACTGAAATGAAATACACATACACCTAGTTTGCTCTGCCTGAGATACATTTTTATCATCTTGAAATATTTGGAATTGTTCGATTTTATATTTCGTGTGGTTTACTAACCTCATTATTGAAAATCAGTCCAGTATTAGTGATGTCAAGTTTCATAGTTCCAAGTGGTTCACATGAGTGGTATAAACTGCACGATACGGCATAGCCATATTTAACAAACTTATTGTTGACATTAGTCGTGGATGTGAAAGTAAAATCATTATCTATGACTTCCATATTCTACAATTACAAATCAGTTAAAATACATATAGGTTTGAATATTGAATCTATACAGACCCTATAAGATTTTTAATACTTCGTTTCGTTTTATTTTGTCACATAACCATATTACCAGGGACGGATTACCCTATAAGCACAAACTGTTGCACTGAGGTATTTCAACAGCCTTGTTTTACGGTTAGAGCTATTTGAAAAGGTGAACTTCAAGTTTGGTCAACGGTCACGAGATGTAAACAGAGCTAGCGCTAATCCCAACTCTAACCCTGGACCTAGCCCTAAGGCTTGCCCTACCCCTAAACTACAGTTTCGCCAACAATCGCGTGTACAAGATGACCGACCTTTAAGGTCGTGTGTACTATAGGTATACATAGCACCATATGGAGTCGATAATACGTGCGTTGTTACACTCATTTTACGCCTTCGTGTACAATTTTATGTATCCATTTACACTAACAAGAAGATAATTTGTATCCAGATAAAATAATAAACTTAAAACATCTTATTTTTCTTGGTAATTTAAAGATACATTATGTAAGATATAAATAAAGAGCTAGACATTCTTGCTATAATAGTTCGAAAATAGATGATGTAAAATGTATAATTTGAAAATTTCATTCAAATTACCCGATTGCGAGCGAAGATATTAACCTTTGAAGGTTTGACAAGACGTGTGCAATAATTTCAACCATCGCACTGGTTGTTCGCTCCTCCAATTTTAGCTTAAATCAAAATATGGCCGAACTGTTCTAATCTATTTAATATCAGAGAAATCCGATGCCATCGAGAGTTGATTATGGCCTGGATAAGTTAATTAATGTCTAATTAATAATTTAGAAAACATTTCAGGTCTAAAGAAAGACCTGCAGTAGGCAGATTGAGCTCTTGCATAATGTATGTTTAAATAATAAAAACTGTTTTTGATATTAATTTGCAGAAGATGAAAAACTTAATATTGAGAGCTAATTAACTCGCCCCGATGTCATCTCTATCAGTGATATTGGCTCGCTTTTGCTTACCATTAATGACTAGAGCAGCCTTTTCCTTTTTTCCGATTGTTGATTAAATTTAACTATTTTTCAAATTAGACAATCACCTGGCTTGCCTAATCACACATTTGCTGATCCAAATTCAAGAATTTATAGTTGCTTTAAATCAAAGAAAGAAATCATATTTACATACTTTGGTGTTAATTCTGACTTTTTGATATGTGGTAGTGCCCGACGCTGGCCACGTTTTTGTTACTACTGTGCTGCAACGAGAAACACCATTTTTCTGTTGCTTAAACGCATAAAATGCCTTATTCTCATACACCAGTGTGAGGAATTCCGTTGGCGTTGTAGTGGACATTCCATGACAATAAACTTTAACACGTTTATTGTCAACTGCCGAAGGATACACCCAATACTCTCCATCTGTTGAATAACTTGAGTCACATTTCTTGATATCCACACAGCTTTCTACATCTGCAATTAGATAAGCGGTTAGATAGAATAAGGGTCGTGTCTTCGGTTCAAACGCAAAATAAATATACAGACGAACGGACAAACCAATTTCCATAGTTCACTGCTTCTTTCGAAAAATGCGGGGGGGGGGGGGGACACATAACACCTACCACCAGTGCTTATATACCACAATTTTTTTTAACAACCGTATATCTAATTATTCCACTTAGCCCGCTACGTCCCAGCCCTCTTACCCGAAAAACCACCAACCGACCAACAATTCGACCGAAATGAGTTGAGACAGAGAGATAAATGGGGTTTAACGTCCACTCGACACAGACTATGTCATTTCGGGACTAAGAAATGAGTTGAAATCAAGCAATGGTCTAAATTTAACCCATGGTAATGAATTAATCTATAATTGATCTATAATCATATATATTAGTCCTACTCACATCTACATGTTACAACAGGTATAGACCAAGCTCCATCAGACAGACAGGTTGACGTCATAGGTGAATCACCGATGTTTCTGCCACTGCATGTATAACTTCTCACAGCTCCTAATTGTCCACTGTCGGGTAAACTTAAAATACTATTCTCAATTCTTACAGGTTCTCCACAATAAGGTACTGGAATCAAATAATCAAAAATTTCTTAAATATATATCTTAATGTTTGACCTTCTGCCAAAGCTATATTTGTTGCTAAGGCTATTTACTTGTTGCTAAAGCTGTTTTCTAGTTGCTAAATAACACCATTACCAGTAACGCACCACTTCGCGATAGGTGAAGATAAACGGGGACTAAACAGGCTAGATCAAAGACCGATTGATTGGCTTTAATCAAGACAAATTCAAGATATAATCAATTATGCTTATAATAATCAAGTTGAAAAAAGTATCATTTGTATCAATTTCTTGAAAGCATTTGACGTCCTTGAAAAGCTAGAAACTTTTAAAGGGCCAATCTCGATTATATTTTGGAAATTGTGACCGGTGTCTCAAGCTGTATTATACAGTGTCTGGATTAAACCAGACTTTTATTTTATAACGTGTAGGTGAAATTTACCTTTCGTTATCAAGTACAGCACGTGGGTCATGCACTGTGTAGACCCCTAAAGGAACCCCTAAAGGTCACCCAACGAAAGAAAAAAGTGACATAAAATCTTAAAAGGGTTACATGTCCGGATAAGCGGTTTTGACACCATATTTTGGCGCTTAAATGTCATACTTACACGTACTTTCATTTCTAAGACTGTTAAAATCGGGATGGTCCCTTTAAACGTTTAGGATTTAATCGATGATTTATCCATTGAGTGGAAACATATCAAGATACCGACACAAGCGTTATAATATAATGGTTGGATCTCAGAAAAGACTATTTTCATCATTTAGGTTAAAATAAAACCATTAAAGGGATACGAATGTAAAATGATAATCAATACATAGTTGTGAAATAACAGAATTAACGGATGATACAACCCCTTTGATGGAATGAAATTCAACTCTCTCCAAACGGGCCTCCCATCAATTAGTCAATACTTCATCTTTGGCAAATCACAGCGGCATAAATCAGATTTAAAAGATGTGACTTTATTGGAACGGACTCGGGTTTTTTAGTCGGCTTGAACGACCCTTCAAAACAGGCTCCAAACGGATGTATGACAAAGAATTGGTTAGATCTTAATGCGTTACATACCAAAAGATTTAAATCCAAACGCAATAAAGATCTGTTTTTATACGCCCACATTTTCATGTGGACGTATATTTACGTCGCTCCTGTCCGTCCGGACGTCCACTATTTGTTTGTGTACTCTCTACAGGTCACAATTCTTATCCGATTTTGACGAAATATAGGTTTATCCCCAAAAGATCTCGGCTGCTCTCGATATTGGCATGTATCGGATCGAAACTTCATGGATTATGGCCTCTGTTTGTACAACAAATCACGTTTTTAGCTTCTGGACCCTATAGAGGTCACAATTTTTATCCGATTTTGTTGAAACTTGAAATGTTCCTTTCGATATTCGCGCATATCGGACCGTAACTTCCTGAATTATGGCCCCTGATTATACGAAAAATCGCGTTTTTAGCTTGTGGACCCTATAGAGGTCATAATTTTTATCAGATTTAAAAAAAAACGTATTATTATATCACCGTGACACCCTAAGGAAGGTTGAGTTAGAATTTCGTGACAATCGGACCAAAATTGCCGGACAAAATGGCCGCCGTTTGTACGCGAATAGTGTAAAAATATGGTAAATCAAGGTTGTGGAATCTGTATACATGTAGGTCACAATTTTAATTCGATTTTGATGAAACTTGAAATGCATGTTTATAACCTAAAGATCATGGTTCCTTTGGAGGTCACAATTATTATCTGATTTAAAAAAATCGTTTGATTATATCACCGTTACACTGCAATGAAGGTTGAGTTCGAATTTCGTGAAAATCGGACCAGAATTGCCGGACAAAATGGCCGCCGCTTGTGCGCGAATAGTGTAAAAATATGGTATATCACGGTTGTGGACCCTGTAGAGGTCGCAATTTTAATTCGATTTTGATGAAACGTGAAATGCATGTTTATAACCTAAAGATCTTGGTTCCTTTCGATATTGTCGCATATCGGACCATAACTTCCTGAATTATGGCCCCTGATTATACGAAAAATAATAAAGGTTGAGTTCAAATTTCCTGAAAATCAAACAAAAAATGCCGGACAAAATGGCCGCCGCTTGTACGCGAAAGGTGTAAAAATATGGTATATCGAGGTTGTGGACCCTGTAGAGGTTAAAATTATATTCCGATTTTGATGAAACTTGAAATGCATGTTGATAACCCAAAGATCTTGGTTCCTTTCGATATTTGCGCATATCGAATTGTAACTTCCTGAATTATGGCCCTTGATTGTAGGAAAATCCTTTCTTTTTAGCTTGTTCTCTATCCATCTCTCAAAAATGTGGGCGTATCCTGCCTGGCAGCCACTGGTTTTATAAAATGTAGGCTAGGGTATTACATGGCCAGACGCATTCACACTAATTGAAGTTTTTAAGAAATCTCTTCATTAGAAAGTAATTTGCCTTGATTTATTTAAGATGATAATAATAATAATAATGCTATTTGTATTGGACAAACTATCCAATAGTGAATGCTCTTGGCGCTAGAAAATGTTTTCACTTTGGCGAGTTTATGATAGTGACTAATTAACAAGTTTTCACTTTGGATTCTAATCCTACCCAGACCACTATAAGTACATACATTCAGAAAAGTCACCGGTTTTCGTCTACGTTACGATCAAGTAACAGTATGAGACATTTCTCGGCATAGCTCCGGGCCTCGCTAGGCTCCGGGGCCCTGGATAAGTGCCTCCACTTCCACCTTGCTCTCATAAAAAAATAAAGCAGTCTGTGATCACGAATGAAAGGCTGGGTGTTGTATGTTGGGAGCATACTATTTTACAGAGAGAACTAGCACAGAGTGTAGGTATATAGTTTTTTTTTAAATAAAAAGACGACCGTAACGAACTTCTAAATTTTCAGTTTATCTTTTATTACAAATTGTTTATATAGCAGATTCCGAGGAGATCAGACAATACATTATTTTAGACATCCATTTGTATTACACCAACAAGGTCTTACCTTTTCCTACACACTTTACAATACCAGATAGTTTTAGACAGGTTGTACCATTTGAACAATTCATTGTCGCACATTCACCAAAATCTGAAGCCTAAAATTATAAATAAATTAATATGACTGCGAGCTGCATCCTCGAAACTTTTCTATGGTCACATAACCATTAATTTATTTCACGGATAAAGGGAAACGTAGGTCAATTTATTCGTTCGTAAAATTCGGTGATTTCGGATTCGTAAAACGTTTTTAAAATTTATTTAAAAAACTCACCACCAATTTTTCAGGTGGTAGGTCAAAGTTTCAGAAATATCCCAAGGTTAGATTTTGAGAAAGAAATCAGGTTTGCAGGAAATACACACACACACAAATAATAATAACAATATGAAAGCTTAATAAAGCAGAGAGCCTTTGTTATCTGCAGTGCAATAAACTAAACGAGTGAACTGCTGTTAGGTTGAGTTTCTTTAGCGAATATGGTTTCTGATTATATTCAGATTATATGTGATTTTTCTTTTTCGTTGAACCTAAATTTGAAAAGAAAGCCTCATAGCTGGTATCAAAATAATTCAGCCTTAAATTATTTAACATAGTATGGTACGCAATTATAATTCTGCAGCACATCTCGGTGCCATTCGGGATATCTTTATGACACTTTGTTTCCAGCGTTTTGATACTTTGATGTGGTGGTAGTTTGTAATTAAAGTCAATCTATGTCCACTATAACCAGGTCGCGTAATTGGGCATCCTCGGTATCGCCAGTGGTCTCATTCCTATCCACTAAGCCCTGGGTTAATCTAAGGGGGGGGGGGACACGTTTGCAAGTTATCCGCCCTTGATGATTGTGCTAATGTGCTATTTTTATCGACCAATCCCGTACATCGTTAATTAAAAAGGAAGTTGGTAAAGTAAGCAAAGCGCAAAGCCCACCCCTCTCAAGAGACAAGGTTAGGAATTAGCTTGGTAAAAACAAATTACAATTACTTTGTATTATTTCGGACAGGTATTCCGATATATTATGTAGGTTTGGGAGTTTAATTAGGAATCAAATTACCAAGTAGAAGTTCAATAATATTAAACATAACAGAATGAAAAATTTCAGACAATTATTATATTATTATTATTATACATACATTTCTATAGCGCTACTTCCACAACCGTGTTCAGAAGCGCTTTACAATATGATACATACAAAGATGAGATAAAATTCAAAACTTAGAAATAACAAAAGTTAAAATCTGTTAAATATAAAATATAAAATAAATTTGAACAAAATATAGCAATGACAAAAGTTAAAAATCTGTTAAATATAAAATATAAAATGCATTTCATCTAAAATATATATAACA